ACATCCCCTGCCACTCAGCATTCCAGTAACTGCCATGGGGATGGTAAACTGTAAGAATAAGATCACGATGAAGCAGGAAGGAGTGGAATGTGAACTAGTCATCTATTATGTCAGATCTGATTCTGAGTATGACGGCTAACAAGAATGTTTACCAATAAAGTTTCCAAATTGTTTACAGAAAAGATTCAAAAGTAAGAAAGTTTTGCCTAAGGACAGGTGACTTGTCCTGCAATGGGACAGGGGGCCCTGGCAGAGGCACAGAGGTCACTTAACCACTGAACGTGGAGATGGAGAAGGACTTTCTACCTGATCCATCATTTCCAAATCTATTTTCTATGTAAGGCTAGAACATGGACTGACAGGATCTCACAGACCATGGGGTAGCACCCAGGACCACTGGCTAAAAACTTTGTCTGCCTGGACATAATGCTTAGGATGAATCCACCCATTTTAGCTTCCCTTCTCACTGTACAACCCCAGGTCTCCCTTGATTTCCATGACCTTTAAGCTAGCATGAAGATAACAGGCAAAAGACACATCAGGTTTCATAAACTACTAAAGCTCTAACAGTTGGAGGGACTGAGACTCATCTGCTTCTTGCATTATAGCTGAAAGGAAAAACATTTCACAAAAGAGCCTCACAGACTAATAAACTTGCAATTAAAGAAAGTGAACACTGTAGATAAGACAGCACATTAGTAATACAAAGTTGGTTTATTAATCCTGAAGTCATATTTTGCACTTTCATGTTCCAGTCCATTCATTCAAGTTTTCAGAGAAAGATCAACACAAAGAGGCAGTAAATGATGGTGTTTCCTGCCAAATCAACCCCAGGAAATACAGGAATCCCAGTCATTACAAATTACACCTCACCGGATTTCCAGCACAAAACAGAGGCGGTAAATTCCCTGTTTATCACAAATGAACACCAGTCCTGCTGATGCTTGACCAGGAAAGGCAAATAACCCCACCAAGAGAAAGGAACTAGGAAGACATCTGTGCTAATGATTTACTTTATCTCCAAATACATTATTTGGAACTAGAACAGGATGAGTTAAGAGAAAGCATTGACCTTGATCAGAGCTAACGTGTTCAGGTAAAACCTGACAGAGAATCTTGGCCCATGCAGAATCAATAAGCTTTCAGAAAAGTTTACTATTTAGCTATTCTTAGAAAAGTTTCAGATTCATTAGAAAATGCAAAAAAAAAAGAAAAAGACAATTTAAAAAACATTACTGAATTCAAAGGGGAATACAAAAAACAATGAGAATCATACTGGAAGTGAATTATCAGTACCATTCATCCAGCCCTTAGCCAGGCTCTAGAGGTGCCTTTGAGATAAAAGACCCCAGCTTAATCCCTGGCTGTTTTTAGCAACATATCTGGGTACCATCGCTAAGCCTATGCAGGATGTTGTGCTTCTACAGCTGGGCTGCTTGCAGCATGTCTGGTAAAGATGTGTGCATGGACTGCAGCAAGCAGAACTTCACTCTTCTACAAATCCAATTGTGCAAAAATGTTTGCACTTGTCTTCTCCTGAAGTGACACTATCTGCCCCTGTAGCATTATTACCAGAAAATATACTTCAGAAGAGACAGATGCCTATTATCTACATCATTTGACTCAGATTTGCCCAGAAATCTTAGATTTTGCTTATGCATGCACCAGATTGCATAGGTTTTTTTCTTCCCCAGGTACTCTTTCCACAGTTTTCAAGAGGGAGAGGAAAAAGCTATCTTTGGAATGATGGGAAGAAAGAATTTAGCCAGTGATTATCAGTAACTAAGCCCCCTCAAATTACAAGAATATTAACTTGCTTCAGTACCTCCCTTTAAAACAAAGTTAACAGAAGTAAAGCACCCAAACCTTTTTTCAAATGCAAGAACCCTTTTCCACAGGTCTGACCTGTTAAAAAATGATTCCACTATATATTGTAGAAAACAGTCCTGAATGGACTCTGCTGTACCCATACTTATAAAAAAAATGAAGGGAATGACATTAAATGTATACTAAGCAATCAGGATTAATGGGGAAGGAAAGCTTTGACTTACTTCCCATAACATTCCACTATATTCCAATATACTCTGAGTACATGGTCTGAACAGACTGAAATTGTAGGTGCCAGGTGTGGAAGTCCTCCTACCTTCAAAACATGCTTGCTTGAGCAATAGTTCTAAATTCTGTATGAGCCTGAAACCACACCTTGCCGTACACAAGTGAGCCAGATCAGAGTCAAAGTCATGCTGATCACAAGAAAATGGTGAAATCAGCTGCCTGCAGACTGCACACAAAAGAAATCCAGCCTTTGGTTATGCAACTACCAGGAATTCAAATCCACTTATCCAGACATGCAAGGAGCCTGATTCTATTTCACTTCCATAGACTTCCAGGTAGAACCACAAGGTAAAAAGCACAAAGGAAGTTTGTGCATATAAAAGATCTCAGGAAAACAGAGGTGGAGGAGAAATGGAAGCACCATGGTGATTCTTTCCTTCCCCAGAAAAAGAGGGAAGCAGAAGCCACAACTGCCCTGGAGGACAGGTATCTGTAGCCCCTGCTGCCCACAGCTCCACCCGAAGCAGTAAATATCTCAGCTGGCCAAGGGTGCAGAGCTGCAGCTGCTGCTCCCAAATTCCCCCGTGCAGGTTTCTAACAGTAGCAAGCCCCAGCTAAGTGTGAAAAGAATCCCTGAAAACAAATTAACATTCACAACAAGCTAGAGATCCATAGACAATTTAAATCACTAATAAAGGATTATGGCCTTGGCCTGGCAGTAGCTGACCAACGCAGAACATCTGTTTACTGACATCTGGGGCTTTCAGCTTTCTTGATGCTCTGGAACTTCCCATCTTCCTATTAAATCCCAGCCATATAAACGCATTTCCCTCCTGTTCATTAATAAAACCTGATTTTCCAAGGAAGACTAAAATAATTTGCAATGAAAAAATGGGAAATTAAGGCCTACTTTGTGATTACCCCTCCTTCGGGTACCACACAAAGCAGCAACAGCTACAGAAGATTTTTGTACTGACTTTGCCTTCTGTCAGGCTCTTATTCAATGACAGCATGCATTAGAAGCATGTTGGTGTTCTGGGATTCTTCAAGCAGACAAATGCTTTTGAGAGCTGCCTTTAAATCATGTGTAGTGGACTGATCCTGGACTCAGTTGTGAATAATTAGATCTGGTTAACCCTCAGGTCAGAACAGGGCCAAGCACTGACAGTGGCCAAGGCAAGCCAGAAAGTTGCCAGTTCAGAACTCACTCACCTCGAGAGCAGAAGGAAAAGACTGGAAGGAACTGGGGAAAGCAGCAGGCAGCTGCTCTGCCTGGTTTTTGCCATGTTATATAACAGCAGCACAGTAATATATAGAGGCACCTGTTCCAGCAACACCTAACTGCAGGGATCCAACACACTGTAGTGCAGACACACATAACGAGGCATACTTTGAAGTCTAAAAAGTCAAAGCAACTCCAAGTGAAACATGAGCCCAGCAGCAGTGACACAGCCAAGGCCATGGACCAGAGCAGCAAAGCCAGAGCAGAATTGCATCTCCACATGTCTTGGTTCCTTATGTAATAGAGAAGCACAGGATCATTGCCCTACATAGTGAGGTGCATCCACATCTCTTCTCATGGAAAAAAGCTACAGTATAGTGAGTATCATTCTCAGTGACATTGCTAAACTGGCCATTTGTTTCTATACTGCAGAGTAAATATGGGCTCCCCAGCACAAGGGGGACATAAAACTACTGGAGCATGTCCAGAGAAGGGCTACAGAGATTATTAGAGGACTGGGGAACCTGTTGTAAAAGGACAGGCTGAGAGGACTGGGCATGTTTAGCCTGAAAAAGACTGAGGGAAGACCTCATCAGTGTGTATAAATATGAGGGGAAGGTGTCAAGAGGATGGAGCTGGTCTCTTATTAGTTGTGCCCAGCTACAGGGCAAGAGACAACAGGCACAAACTGAAGCACAGGAGGTTCCAGCTGTGTATGAGGGGGCACTTCTTTGTTGTGAGGATGACAAAGCACTTTAAAATTTTGCCCCAAGAGGCTGTGGAGTCTCCTTCTCCAGAGATATTCAAAACCCACCTGGATGCCATCCTGCACAACATGCTCTGGGTGATCCTGCTTGGTAGGGGAGTTGGACTAGGTGATCTGCAGATGTCCCTTCTAACGTCAGACATTCTGTGATTTGGTTTGTTTAATCACATGGACAAAAACCAGAAAGCTATGGGGAAGCAATTCTGTTCCGATTTGCTACACAGAAAACTTATCCTTAAAATGAGAGCAACTTGGCTTCATGGGCAATTCCTAGAGGTTGAGCATGGAATATTCTCTCTCTAGTGCCAAACTTCAGGATTACCTCAGGGCAACACGCATAGATCAGAGAGGTGATGAAAGTGGAACAGGAGCAGTTCCTATCCTAGGCTCCACATGTGAAATATTTTCAAATATCTTCTCAGGAACGAAGTCATTGATGGGTGCCCACAACCACTCAGGTTCTGAAGCATTCACTGTGCTCCCAACTGCAAAGCATCAGATGCTGACCCCAACAGCAATGACAAATCTGAATTTGCCATTTCTAACACTCAGCATCCTTCCCCACCTTCTGTACTGAACAAGTTCTAACAAGATTAAACACTTCAACTGGTCAGGCATGAGTGGGTGCTGTGGTGGATGGCAGAGGGTTTACTTGCTTTGCTTGCAGCTTGATTTCGGTTCTTAGCTAAGGCTTGGCTGACTTTTTCCCTTTGTGGGTGAAGTACTGTGTATGCAGTACAGGCCACAATACTGCCCGTTATGTAGTGTTGTTTTGCAAGACAGGATCCCATCCACAACGGAACACTTTGACCATGACAGAGCACATTAAACTTGTTCTTAGTTCAATAGAAAATTCTCTTCTCTGTTCTGTAGTATCAAAATAAAAAAGCCCAATGAAAGGATTTTATGACTTTATTTATGAACTCTGAAGTTTCAGGGGAAGAGAGTTCAACTCACCCTGAACTGAGCATGTATTGAGATCTTGAATTATAAGGTAGCACCAAATGTTCCCAATATGGCAGAATTTAGCCCTGCAAGAAAGGGTCCAGCACAGCAATTATTTCAGATCTCACTTAATATTTCACATTTTGTCATGAGCCAAAGACAAAGTAAGGACTCAAACCCAAAATATTAACTAAAAGAATCTGCAGATTTCCCTGATAAGTGCTCTGTAACCCTGTTATATTTGTTAAAAATTAAACACATGAGTATTAGCTATTGAAAGTGATTAATGGTAACTGGTGTTCAATGATTTTTTGGGATGAAAACAGTGGAATTCAAGAAGTCAATTAAGTACTAATCCTTTCCCAAAACACAGTAAATAGCTGTTATGAAACTGATAGAATTGAATAATATTTAGTCACAGAATCACTACACCCTATTACAATGATCACACCTACATTTAAGAACCAAGCAGAACATGCAATTTCTGTAATGAGATTCTTACTCTAGCTAAAACTTGATTTTCAAATAATTTTCATCTTCTGCATAATCAGTTCATGCTGTCAAGTTCTTTGTCAGCCAGTGAAATACACCAAGAAATGTCTCCTTCACTTGTTCATAACATGCATGTACTTAAAAAAAAAAAAAAGGTAGAAAATCTGCAACTAAGGAGATGCAGAACCAAGGAAAAAACATGGCTGCCAATGTTGACTCAGGTAATATTTGCTTGGTAATAGCTGTAGAATTTACGATCAGAAAAGCATATTAGAGTATTAAATTTGTTCTCTGTACCAGAAGACTAATTTCAGTCATCTATTGTACTGAATATACTTGGGTTGACTAAGCAGAAGCTAGTGTTTGGCTAACAACCATTCTACTCTTAGGGTAATAGATTCAGCCTTTGAATATCTTCATTGTCCTTGACAATTTGTTCCAGAATATAATCAATAAACTGCATTAAAGTTGTGCCCAGTCTCTAATTTCAATTTGTATGGCTTCAGTTCCAATGCAATACTATATATTCTGACAGATTAAGATGCTCTTAAGTATCAAAATTCTTCCTGAAAGGGAAAATGACTACATTTAAGTCACCACTCAATCCTTTTCATTAGCTAAACAAATACAGAAAGCATTGCCAGATAATTTCTATAATCTAACACACTCCATTTTAAACATTTTTCAAATGCAATACAAAATGAAACGAACTACAAAGTGCTGACTGATCAATTCCCTCTAAGCATTGCTTTAGAAAGGAAGTTGTAATAGTTGTGATAAAATAAACAGATGTTTTACACAAGAATACCAGAATAAGGAATATTGCATAGAGGAGTTAATGTGCAGCTCTAATATGTGCTAAGCAAAAGCATAAATTTAAAGTAGCCACATACGTAGTGAGAACACATTGGCATTGTGTAACTGTTCTCTGCTTTGTCAATCTCTGCCTGCATTTTCCTTTTACTATCTTTCACAGCCTCTGTGGAGTATAAAAGTAAAGGGCAGCTTGACTGACAGGGGGTGAGAAGTCCCCACAGCCTCCAGCCTGGTGTGGATTGTTCTCTGCCCATCAAGCTCCTCCAGCCTTACTTGGGTTTGACCTTTGGAATTTACCCTTTGCATTTGACCCTACTCCCCAGGCACCAGCTTCTCTGGCACAGTCAGGAAAAGTTCCTGGGCATCTGTTTGGCAGCATTCCTTCTTTTCCTACTGTAACAAATCCACACAACTCCATTTTCTATCAGCTGCTGTGACCACACACAAGACTGCAGTTTTAACAGGTTAGAAAAGACTGCAAGCATTTTTAATTTTTCTTCTAGAAGAAAAGTGAAACTAAACTACTTTCCTTCTTCTAGCCCTACTCAGCACTTACATATCATTTCCTAAGCATGCTGCAACCTCTAGATAAATGTCATACTTGCCTTGACATTTTCCCATAGATTCAGTTATTTTGGTTCTGATCTAACAATTAGATGGCAGTAGATTTAAATAGGATGACCACTGATGCCAGCAGAATGAATGACTTCTTGTAAGAGACATTTCTTCTGTTTTAGAGCTAGCAGGCCCCCTCAAAACAAAACAAAAAAAGATTAAGACAAGGTTTAGAAGTACCTTATAACTAACCATATAGAAAAATCTGCTTATTCATCACATCTTTCAACACAATACAAAAAATACCAAGTTTTAAATATAAAAGTACAAAATTCTAAAACAAGTATGACATTCCTATAGAGTCTAAGTCAATGAAGGCTGATAAAACACTGTGCCAAACCTCAACTTTTTTTTTTTCATTTAAGTACTCTGAACAAGTGTTTTCAAACAGAGGAGGGAAGGTTTCTAAGATGCTGGCCACCCCATAAATCAGGGGAGCTATCAAACACTGCTAAAGCTCCCCCTTAAGCACTGTCAGCAGAAATTCTGCAGGATCTCTTGCTTTTTCTCCCCTTCAAGCTTTTTTCTGTTTCTAGTCTATAACCTTTGGTTTATTCAAGATGAATAGAAAAAGCAACAGGAGATTCACAAAACTAAGCTCAGCAAGAGATAGTGTCAGAACAAGTCATTAGCTTAGATCTCAAATCCAGAGCGCACAGCGAATTATATTCACTTGCAGAAATGCTGTGCAACCTATAGCAATGAAAAGAGACCAGCTCTATGGGGACAGGCAGACAGGTAGCATAAATCTTCACAGCTCTATCAATTTCAGTGACTAGGCTACATTCTGATCCCATTTGCTGCAGCATAAATTGATAGCTTTGCAAATATAATGCTGTTCACACCTAGAACAAAGCTTATATAGCCCTTGTGGTTGTACAGATGTCTTGCTACATCCAAAGCTGAGATCAAATAGCATAAATTGGTCCATGCATACACGTACAGTTTTGAACAATTAACACTTCACATTTACTTTTTAAAAGTTATTTAAAATCCAATCTGAGCCGGAAAACTCATGTCTTTTTTTTTTTCTCTTAATTTAAAGCCCAACAGTAGTTAAAATACATTCTTAACTTACAGTGAGGGCATTTATACCTAGCAGGACCTTACAGGAGCAGTAAAACTTCAACACATGCAATAGCTTTTCTGAATAAGGAACATATTTGTTGTACCATGGAAGAACCACAGTGAATATTCACACATGTAAACAGCATGAATTTGTTTTACAATATTCTTTTTAGGAAAAAATCCCACAGGGTGCAGGTAGCATTCTCAGATGGGTCTGGGTGTTACACTATCAAGTCTTAGACAGGGAGCTCCCAGCCATAAGATGCTTAGTGCACAGAAATGAATTCATTACCCAGTGATTTCAGCCAGAGCTTTGCTAATTACACCCAGGGATGTTGGAATCCTATTGATGACATTAACAGTTGGATGATATCTCTTGGGAAATAATAATATGACTAATATTTTTTTCATCCCTGAAACATAAGCTTTCTATATCTGTATTTTTATATACGTTTCTATACCTACTAGTGAATCATAACCCAAATTATCTCAAATAATATTGATACAACTCCAAGCAGCTTGCTACTACAACTGCCTTCAATTTCACTTAGCAAACATTTCATTTGCAGTCTCTTAATTAACCAGCATGTTTTCCAAGATGTGACAGCATGCAGCAAAAGAGAGTTCTAGATGTTTTCAGACTGCTATTTTAAATCTAACTATGCACAGCCTTTGGCTCAGATTTAGAGAGAAGCATCCCAACTCATCATGTCCAAAACGAAATCTGCAATTGCAATGCAGACAAGCATTATCACTTTCTTTTTTGCACAATTGCCAGGGATTTTTTTGATCAGAGACTGTTTACAGCTTTCAAAAAAAACCCTCATTTTTATTTCTATATTCTTTTCAGCTTTGTCTGTTATACACTTTTAGCTATCACTTTACATTGCTCCTTCAGTAAATACATTTCACATGTTTTCCATTAGAGGACTCAGTTGCAGACAAGTAGCTGAGCAATGAGTATCACTTTAGGGTAGGTCATTTTTCACTGATCTGTCACAAAGTGTCTGACTTGATTTACATAGATTTGTTAAAGGTGTGCAACAATTTTAATAGAACTGTATATTTTAATTAGCTCTGAAGTAGCATATCTTGCATTCCTCATTTGAGCTCATCTTTGATTTAACTGAGGCTTAATTCAGGCAATATATAACCCCCCTGAACACAACTTCCTTAAACCTGCAATAGTTTTTAGCCATTTTACTCTGATCCATTTTAATCAGCAGGCAGCATAATACATTCCTGGCAGCAGACACTGCCCTCCCAGTTAGTAGAAACACCTGGGAGTGAACTGGAAATGTATTGATTTTTCCACATAGCTGCTGGCTACAAATCCATATTCATAATATAACACGGAATCTCTGGCTTTTATCAAAATATGAGAGAAAAATGAAATTGAAGCAAAAATATATGCAAGAAATATATTCAATTAATGGACACTTTGTTCAGTCCCTTGGCACAAAGATATCGAAAGAAGAGAACATTTATATTATACACCAGCTCAGTGTGCCAAACTCAACCTTTGCTGCCTCTGTTATTATTACAGCTATCTGCTTGGAGAGGAATGTTCATCATATTCCAGCCTGGCCCTCAAGTGAAGCTGCACAGTCAGGAGCCTGCAGCTTTACAGCGCCCTGCCATTTACATTGCAGCTCTATAGGATGCTCTGAAACTGCATTTTCCCCTAGCACCTGTGCAGTCCAAGACCACACCTTGGACAGGCCAGACAGCCCTGGTGTTCAGGCTCTGATCACAGCGCAGATATCCTGCACTGCCTGATCTCTTTCCCACAAAATCATCTGGTCTGAATGCAGGGACCAAGTAATCCATCAGTATTCAGAACAAAAGCACACAAAAAAAGACTGGAAACCACAGCTTTTCCATAGTTTGCTATGTGCTAAGGAAACATCCCCAGCCAGGGATTATAATGGTAGGAAGAGCAGGAAACCAAGTTGTCATGTCTTTACTTAATGACACTTTTATTAGCCTATGGAATAACATCCCCTTGCATGTTAATGATGGTTATAGCTACCAAGGAGCTACTAATACTCTGGTTATTTTCATGACCTTCAGAAAGGAATGGCTGTGTGCTAAACA